TTGCGTGGCTCGTGTGGCATGCTCCCGCCCCCCTTTTGTTTTTTTTTCCGGGGGGGCCTCTTTAGATTTGGGGGGGGGCCCCCCGGGGGGGCCACATGGTCGCTGGTTGAAAACCACTGATCTAGACTGTTGACAATTGATAACAATGCCTTCAGCATTCAAAATGAGAGCACTGGCATACATCTAGGGCACTGTTTCTCATCCTTGGCAGCTTGGAGATATGTGGACTTCAACCTCCAGAATTCCCCAGCCTGGCTGGGGAATTCTGGAGGTTGAAGTCCACACATCTTCAAGCTGCCAAGGATGAGAAACAGTGATCTAGGGTGAATGGTGAAGTTCATGAGCTAAGGCATATGCTTCTTTATGGAAGAAGTTGGGTGGCCTGCACCCGGTGGATGCCAGTGGATGAGACGTAGCTGATAAGAGACTCACTTTGCTTAGCTGGTACCCCAGGTTTGAATAAAGTAGGCTTAAAGGGGAGCAAATAACACAAGATGTCGTGCCAGACCCAAGCTGTCTTTAGCTAAAAGTGAGAAGAACCACAGTTTGGTGCAGTGGTGAAGGTCCTGGATTAGAAACCAAGAAACCATGAGTTCTAGTCCTGCCTTAGCATGAAAACCAGCTGGGTGACTTCGGGCCAGTTACTCTATCTTAGCCCAGCCTACCTCACAGGGTGATTGTTGTAGAGAAAACAGTAGGCAGGATTATTACGTATGCCGTCTTCATGGTACCTAATAAAAGTGGGATAGCAATCTAATAATAAGAAGAAAGACTTCACAGAAAAAGTGGACCTTTCAGAGAGATTGGACCTGTACGAGCAGCTGTATTTTTTCTCAGCAATAGGATAGGAGAGAAAACGACCTAAATTTACACAAAGTAAAAAATATGTGAAGGCGTCCTAATCTTTACACTTCTTGATATTACAGAATTTTAGCACTTGTATGAAAAATAAACCCCGAGAGTCCTTTTGTGTAAACCTGTCCGATCCTTTTTTTTTTTTCCATGAAAAATCATTCTAGAGCAGACAGAAAGACCTCTTTTCTTCCTTTCTTTCATTTTTCAAAGGCAGCTTTGCAGACTGTGGGAAATATGCGGCCTCTATCGATTGTTAGATAGTTAGAAGAGAAAACCTTGAACTTCTCAACAGATAAGCTGGCATGGCTTTTCTTTTTTTCCTTTTAGAGTCCTGTGCCAAAAATAATAATAACGGGGTGTGTTCACCAAGGTTTGGAACGCACATTTGGATTCTGATACCAGTCTAGTGTTTTCTGACGTGGGTTAAAAAATCAGGAGCCCAATGAGGAGACCTTTGTGGACCCGTCCAACTAGGTTCAGCACAAGTGACAAAGGCATCAAATCAATATTTTATTAAGCCTTTACAGCAATGGGCAGTATAACCCAACACAGGTCTTTCTCATTTGGTGAGAGATGTGTAAAACACTTGAGGAGTTTTGCATTTACAGGTAGTTCCCCGTTTAAGAACAAGTTCCGTTCCCAAGGTCTGTCCATAAGTTGAATTTGTATGTAAGCCAGAACAGTATTATTGTATAATATTGTGTAAGTAGTATTGTGTAATGAACTCAAACCATGGTGTATTTAACTCAAATTTTGCTACAATAGGCTTCGTTCTTAACTATGGGTCATCTGTAACCTGGACGTTCTTAAACCAGGGACTACCTGTATTTATGTATGCTTTTTTTTTTTTAATGCAGTTTATCTGTTACCTCAATCCTTATGTTCTTCCTGCCAAATTAATCAGATATTTTCAACAAGGATAAGAAAAAAATAACCTTCAATTTTTTTGCCCAAATTCACAACTCAGGGATATCTCAAAACACACGAGTATATTGTTTGTCTTGCGAATGTGTGTTTGGTTCTTCTAGAAATTGAGAAAGACCCTCCCATTTTCACTTCAGGTTTCACCGGAGTTAAAACGTTGAAAGAAACAAGCATTGCTGAAGGCAAGCAGGATGTCATGGGGGAACCCCAGTGTTGTCCAAACTTGGCCACTTTAAGATGAGTGGACTTCAACTCCCAGAATTCC